TTTCTAGCTCTTCTGGCTGCCTCGACCATAGGCACATCGTGCTGTTGTAGAGTTTCTATTTTGTATTTCTGCATAAATTCTACCAACTCCGTCTCCTTATCCCCAAGTCCGCTAACATTTAGCGTGGCTGTTTTTGTATTCCTGCGTGACCTCTTTGTGTTTACTGTGTTTAATGGCGGGCTGGTTGTCAAGCCCTTCGTCCTCCGATCTTTGATGGACTTTTTCATACTCCTGATCGTATCTGCGGTACTTAATAGCATGTTTATGTGAACTTTCACTACCCTACCGGTTTGCTGGACCTGTCATAGTATCATTGTAGAAAGAACACAGTTTAATCCAAAAAGAAATCACATTAAACACATCACTGAAATAACATGACCGATCACGCAGTCATATAGCACAGCCATATTTTCACATGAATTATTTTTAAAAAGAACTCAATTTTTGATCTATCGGAATTCATGTTAATCAAGTTTTACTGTAACGTATTCCAGAAACTTTACTTACGTGGAGCCGTAGCTGTGGGAGAACAAGAGAAAACAGACATTGTTTAGAAGCATGGAAACCAAATAGAGTCATTTACAAATGCCTGTTTACTTTAGAAGCCCAAACTATGAACTCTCTTTCCACCTCACTTGACAAGGATGGACAGCATACTGTACTCAAACTATGAACTCTCTTTCTACCTCACTTGACAAGAATGGGCAGCATACTGTACTCAAACTATAAACTCTCTTTCTACCTCACTTGACAAGGATGGGCAGCATACTGAACTCAAACTATGAACTCTCTTTCTACCTCACTTGACAAGGATGGACAGCATACTGTACTCAAACTATGAACTCTCTTTCTACCTCACTTGACAAGGATGGGCAGCATACTGTACTCAATCTATGAACTCTCTTTCTACCTCACTTGACAAGGATGGGCAGCATACTGTACTCAAACTAACAACTCTCTTTAAACCATACTTGACAAGGATGGACAGCATACTGTACTCAAACTATGAACTCTCTTTCTACCTCACTTGACAAGGATGGACAGCGTACTGCACTCAAACTATGAACTCTCTTTCTACCTCACTTGACAAGGATGGGCAGCACTTGTCATAGCTAAAAATTAATAATATGGTGACCCATTACTTTTGATGAGTAGAATACGCATCGGATAGGATCACATAGAAAACACGGCATCACAGGCAACTATGTTTGCGTGACTTCGTAACTAAAGGAAGCCATTGGAGGCACTATACATCATTTGGTTATAGTGCCTTAGTACACTTGTTTTCCATAGCGAGGCGTACAAGTCATCTAGAAGTGACAAGTTCTATTCCCGGCACGGCAATTACAGCTTTCGATTTTTATGATGCCTAGTAGGTTCTTCTATGTTTCAACGTTTTTTTTATAAGTGCCCATTAATAAATTGTCCTTTTGTTTATTATATAATTAATACTTTTATAAACTGGAAGTGACTGTACTGTATGACGGCGAAAGTGAGTAATCGTCGGTGGGGGAGAAGTTCGGCTTGATCTGGCGCCCCACAAACCCATCACTAACCAGTTGTAATTGTGTCTCTACTGGTCTCAGACGTGACATTTCTCTACATTACTACTTTTATATTGAAGTTCAGACTGATCGTACTTAGAAGGATTTTCTTTTCATTTTCATTACTGCACATAAGTAAGTTATTTCAGTTATCCAGATTCGGTTATCCGTCACAGCACTGGCCCCGACGGTTACGGTTGACTCAAGTTTTACTGTAATGTACGTCTGGCTAAATTTATACTGACGGATTTCCTATTACTTACCCCTCTCACATATTCTGTCGGTGGCTTCCTTTTCTACAGTGCGCAACCCATTAGCAGCAACGGTAAACACATCCGCTGGCAGAGATGCAATAGCTTGCAGCTCTTGATCATTGACACCTGCACCCACACCAAAAGCCAGAACCAGAGCCCCAGAAGCTCGCAACAGCTTGGCTTCATTTCTGGTGGTCAGCTTGTCTGAGGAATTCCCGCTTGTGAACACGATGACTATTTTGTGGACATTTGGGCGAGATCCCTTAGCAGCGGTGAATATCTGCTCCCTGGCCAGTTGCAAGGCTTTTTCAGTGTGTGTACTGCCCTGGAGGTAGGGTGTCTGTCGTATTGCCTATATGGAGACATCATTTATGAAGCAAAACCGTATAAAGTCAACCGAATAGTCACTGTAGCGATAGATGCGTAATTTTAATGTCGGGTCGCACGCCTGAACCTGGGAGCGCCACTCCCCCCTCCCCCAATTCCTTTTTGGAGCTGAGCTCAGTAAAGATTTTTACACAAATTAAACTGAAGTTTGATTAAATTGCAACACGTCTTTTTAACAAAAATTAATTATCATTTTAAAGATAAATTAGTGTGCTATTAGAAAATATTTGATAACAATAAAAATAATAATATATAGCACACACAGTTATCTTTAAAATGATAGTTAATAAAAAAAAAAAAAAAAAAACGTGTTGCAAAAAATGAAACTAGTTTAAACTGTAAACAGATCTACTGGATAGACATAGGGAACACACACCGGTCCTTCGGATTTGCACAAAACGGGAATTTCCATTTACCTGGACGGACTTGTAAAAAGCAATAGTGGGCCATTCCTTATCTAAGTTTTCATGCTCATTAAAAAACTTTAAAAAATTTTATCTTGATTTTTAGTTGACTTCATTGAGGTTGCAAATTGTTCCGTTTCATGATGCTCGTACAACCAATTTCATGGGACACAGCATAAAAGAACAAATTTAATTGGTCAATCTGCTAAGGATATGCTGTATGCAGTCAATCAATGCACTCATCTCATACACAACTTTCAAGGTCGTTTTCTCAAAATAACGTTTTCGTGTATGTTCATTACTATTGTCAGGATAATTTCAAAACTATTAGGCCAAGTTAAGTAAACGTTTGGGAACACGCTCTTCGGTAGATTTGTTTAAAACATGCCATTTTAAAGGGCCCACATAAAGAGAGTGACTTCCCTTGCCATTCATGATTAGTCGATCGCAGGCCCTGTCCTATGTTGCGGGCGTGTCACGTTTAGTGAGCTTCCAGCAACACGACATATTTTACGCGCTATTGTCATAGGTTAAATGCAGTCGGGGACATAGGCTGCACTCTCTCGTGGCAGTTAGGCTGAGACTGTGGCGTAGGTGGGTTTTGGTTAGAGCCAAACTTACACATACTGGGACTGGTAAAAGCGCTCACATCGTGAAATGTAGAACACACGATGTCGCCGGCCTCTGACAACAACACTAGCCGGTCATTAAGTGTGACACTCCCACAACATAGGACAGGACGTGCCACGCGAACGGGCATGAATGGAAGGAAACTCACTCTCTTTCTGGGCCCGACAACCTTACAAGCATCCATTTTAGAACTATTTCAACGATGTGACTGCTACAAAGCAGTCTCAAAAGTAGTTGTGGTCAAAGAAGCTGCGTTGTTCGGTCTCTCTTAACAACGTCTGATTTCGAGTTTCACTTAAAAGTCCTCACTTCATTATTTCACTTCTATTTCAGTTTCAGTGTCTGCCTTATAATAATAATTTAAAAAATCCGTTTCGTCTCGGATTGTGCCCAATATATCGTCATTTTCTTTGTTTATAACAGTCGATGGCAGTTGCTATCATAATATTTCTCTGACCTGTTTGACTTTCGTCGTGTCATGATCAGGGTTGGGGGTTGAGATCGGGTGAGTGTGGAACTGCCAGCAAAACACAAAATATAGCATTGTAAGGGTGCACACAGAAGCCACAGAAACAACGTGAACTACCTAAAGTAAGAAAAGTGAGCTCAGGTTGTAAGCCGGCGGGGGGGGGGGGGGGGGTGAGGAGACAGTCATTGACTGGACTCATAGTAGACGGTCTAGACAACGACAATGTGGCCACACCATATGAGTAGTGGTTACAGCTTTGTGTTAGATAGACTTAGCTAATATATTGAGGTATTTAGAATGATGTAGCAATGCTAGGGTAATAAAATCAACAATAACAGAGCCGAACATGTCATATCTACGTCAGAAAATTCTCCTGTTAATTGTGACCACATTCTAATAGTTTGTTCTCGTTGTCTTTTGCAACGTTAACGTGCTTTGAGAGTGTCAGCAATGAACTAAGTCATAGCACTCTAAGTGTTTGGTAAATATCAAGCTCAGGGAGTCAGAGGCGAACATGAGAGGTAAAATTTAGCACGTTTGTCATTGCAATTTGAAGGACCTTTTTACACACCTATTCTGACCTTGCCACCCGCTTCTCCAGCCCTGACATTACGCATTAAATATTATCAGTTTCTTTAGGCATTTGTACTAGAAGGTATGTTTTAGTGGTTTTTCTATCTCCCAGTGGCAAATGTTGAAACCAAAAATATAATTTAAAATATTTTAGCTGTGAAACTGTTCCGTCTGCAATCCTCTCAGTGTGGACACCGGCGTCTTACTTCCAGAGTAAGAAAAAAAAAATGAATACCAGGCCGACACCTAACAAACACATCGCTGAAGCCCACTAAAGAACATTTTATTAAATCGGGTGTGATTTGCCGAAAGGTGTGAATATTGCAGCTTATCTGTAAACCACAACATGCCAGTCACCCTTTTTTAAGGAGGAAAGCATAAGAAAAAGAAGAAGAAGAAATAAGAAAAAAAAATACAGATGAAGACGACGACGACAAAAAAGAAGAAGAAGAAATAGAAGAAGAAATAGTAGTAGTAGTAGAAGAAGAAGAAGAAGAAGAAGAAGAAGAAGAAGAAGAAGAAGAAGAAGAAGAAGAAGAAGAAGAAGAAGAAGAAGAAGAAGAAGAAGAAGAAGAAGAAGAAGAAGAAGAAGAAGAAGAAGAAGAAGAAGAAGAAGAAGAAGAAGAAGAAGAAGAAGAAGAAGAAGAAGAAGAAAAAGGCATAATCTGGAATTCCATATTTTAGCAATTCAATGAAAATGTACGATGAAAAATGTAGTTCTTCGGTGTAATACACTGACCTGCTCCAGACTTGTGTGATTGGTGTGTTTCGTAAAGTCGAATGCTTCTTGGGCAGCATCACTGAAAATAACGTTGGCGAACTGAAACGCTTGGGGTCCGACATTAAAACTGCGTGTCAGGTTCACAACAAAGTCTAGCACTTCATTGTAGTTGTTAATGTTAATGCTGTCAGAGGAATCCAGGATAAACAAAATGTCTGCTTTGGCATCACAGGCTGGAGCTGACAACATAAATAATTCCACATAAATATTAACAGTGCAGCTTTTAAGGATAAATAGTAACTCACGAATGTTTTTTTTGTTGCAACAGAAAATGTCTAAAATCTCTCTCTCTCTCTCTCTCTCTCTCTCTCTCTCTCTCTCTCTCTCTCTCTCTCTCTCTCTCTCTCTCTCTCTCTTGTTGTACTCCACAAGGACATTCACACAAACGATAAACACCCGGGGACACAAAATGCCACCATGCGGATGAGGATCAGTGGCGGAGCGGTCCCAGAAACCCCTTTCAGTCGTTATGTACTTAACGGTGATAGTAAAAGGTATCGGACACCGGTGCTAGATTCATTTAACAGGCCAATCGGTCGTGTCAATAAGTGATGTGATCAACACCCCCCCCCCCCTTTTCTTTCCAGGCCCTCCCTACACCCCTAAACATGTTCTGGTACCCGTTTAAGCTATGTAGACTTGAAAGCCAAGAGAAACTACAAAAAAAAAAAAAAAAACACACACACACTTCAGTGTGGGATTATAAACTCAGATATTCCGATCGGCATTGACGCGTCTATACTGAGCCAATGGGAGCGTTTCTGCGTAACAGTGGCAGATATTTATTGATGATTTATGTACACATTTTTGTCCTTTTTAGGACAACATTTTTTGTCATTTAAAGCCCCACCCTGGCTTTTGCTAGGGGCCGCAATATAGGCAGGCCATATATATGGCCAATTGTCTGAACGCGGTTTCTGGGATCTCTGCACGGCGA